GAATATGACAACACACATACTGTGACACACACACACACACACACACACACACACACACACACACACACACACACACACACACACACACACACACACACACACACACACACACGTACGTGTTGATCAGGCCATTTAGTGGAGCTGAACTAATGATACTGACATATATGTGTGTTTTTGCATTTTCCTTTCCCTTGCGTCTTTTCTATGAAGATATCCAGAAGTGGTGGGGAGACTGTCGTCACCAGAAGCTCAGGGAACCTTGCATCAGCACGCGTGTATTCAGTCCTCCCTGAAGAAGCCCTTAAAGGATGCGATCAGCACTGAAGCTGATTTCATTGCAACAGGATGGGTTTCCTTTGCCAGCATAGCCGGAACATTTTACAGCTTCCCTGGCCTTGTAAGACGGAATGACATTCTCAACCCATTCCCCCCTCGCCCCCCCGCCCCGCCCCCCCCCCCCCCCCCCCCCCCCCCCCCCCCGCCCCGCCCCGCTCCGCTCCGCTCCCCCCCTGCCGCCCCCTAAAAAAAACAGTCAAAGAAAGAAGAAAAGAAAGTCTTAGAGTGGCTGGCACTGACTGCCATTGTTTCAGAGACAACATTGTCATCAATTGTGCTAGTAGTTGTTATGATCCTATTCCATCCATAGTGCAAAACTCAAATCGCGAGAAATGCAAGACTTTTTTTTTTTTTTTTTTGGTGCTGAAATCCAAAAGAAGAGATGGAGAGAGCTAATTTAAGATTAGATTAGAAAGAAAAAATAATCAAAGAAGAACAAGAAGAAGAAGCAGCAGAAGAAGAATTACAGAAGTTACACCAATGTCTTCCCCCTCCTCCTTCTTCCTCATCCTCTTCTTCTTCTTTACACCTCCTCCTGTTATTAATCAATTAAATACAACAAATGAATGATTGAACAGGAATCATGTCCGAGCGTTCCCCCTCACTGTCAGCAACTCAAGAAACCACCTTTCAGCCTCAGCTGACCCCACTTCTCTCCTCTTCCTAGCATGTATGGCTATGGAGGAGCATCCCTACTCATCATGGATGTTTGAAGGACAACGCAAACACTACTTGTGGCTACTATGCTAGTCCCATCCATTCCCACCATAGCCACACTCTCGGAAAGTGTCCACTGTCCAAGACCAACCAGACCCACACTGGGGCCTTCTTGATGCAACGCCATCCAAGTGAAGATGAAGGTCAACCATAGCCAAGGTGAGTCACTGTATGTCGGTTTCTCTCTCTCTCTCTCTCTCTCTCTCTCTCTCTCTCTCTCTCTCTCTCTCTCTCTCTCTCTCTCTCTCTCTCTCTCTCTCTCTCTCTCTCTCTCTCTCTCTCTCTCTCTCTCTCTCTCTCTCCCTTCTGCTGCCCTTTTTCCAACTCTGGCTTGGGGCGCTTCACCCTCCACCATAGCCAGGACTACATTCTACTTCTCCTCCATAGCCAAGGAGGTCGTCTCCCTCGTTCTCCAGCTCCACAGCTCCTCTGCCATTCCGCCGAACTTCCCCCTCTGGGTGGAGCAGCAAAATGACTGCCGGGTAAGATACTGCTCCACTCACTCTGGCCAAATGATATACTCTCCTACAGCGGCCTCTCAGCTTCACTTAGACTGAGGTACTGCATCTACCTCTACCGCTGCGTGGAACGAGGCCTATCTGAAATACCTGCCTTTTGACAGGAACCTCAGGGCCTGAGTTTAGCCTACTGGATATTTAGATTTGGGCCAGACTACTCATGGCCTTTTCGTCTCCTTGCCCGACCCCAAACTGTCCTATGTCCCCCTTTCTCTCTTTTTTCTTTTTTGAACCGGGCTCAACTTCCCTCCTGAAGTATCAAGATAGAGGATTTGAAGAGTGAGATTGAGGTTAAAAATATGAACAAACATTGAGAACCTGCCCCGCTGGACACCGGGCCCCCTGAGTGCACCACTCTCACTGAAACCTCTCTTCCAGTGACAGTGGGTGTGGTGGGAAAGGATCTGAAAATTCGTTTGTGCGCCACAACGGGATGCTGGGGTCCCGGGGGACTTCGGCCCGTGTGCCCACCTCTCTCCCTTGGCTTTCCCCACTCCTATCCCCTGACCAGTATACCCTCCCCACCCATCCCTCCCTCCGCCCCCCCAGCCAGTCCTCGGCGAACTGGGTAATCCTGTCCGATATGTCTTTGCGTCTGTGGAGGGAATCCAGAGTCCTTTTTGTCTCCGACCACCTCTGTGTAAGCTCCAATTGGAAGTGGGTTTTGAAATGTTCCCTCCTTTCCTCTCCCTCCACCCGGTTTCCTTCTAAGACCAGCGCACAGCGTTGCCACCATAGAATCCACAGGACCGTCCTCCTTCCCAGTGAGAACATATTCCTCGCAAAGATCCCCTGCTGTAGAGTCGAGTAATGTCTAGCAGGATTGCTCTCCAGTCCCATGGCCATAACTGACCTCTGATCATCTTTCTCCATATCTTATCCCACCATCTCCACGTCAGCACGACGGATGGGCACTGCAGAAACATGTGTTCGATTGTCTCCATCCTTTTCTAACCCGAAATCCGTGCAAGTAACGTGTACACCATGGCAGGGCCCTGCCCTGTTGTTTCAACTATGTATGGTCAATTAGCCAGTTGTTCGTCGGGAGGCAACGGTGAGCGAGGTGATTTTTGTCGGCCTGCACTTGCAATCTTGAAACCACTGTATAGGTTGAAGAAGTTGTCTATTCACATTGAGGTGTTTATCGATTAACACATCTCTCAGGTTTCGACCAACTCTGAACATCCTATAGGTTCTTTTCACCATGAGGCTGGAGAGGGTTCGGGGTCTCCGTGTGCAGGTTCTAGCCCTCTCGGGGGGGTCCCATTGCCACTCTAGCGGGTCCAATGCGAGTTTGGACAGTCGGGTCTCAGGCTGTGTAACCGCCCGTTCATTGAACGCGGGTTTTCCATTCAATTTTGAATGGAATGAACACGACCGAAAGCGCCATTTAATTCCGCGGTTCGGAAAAAAAAAAAAAAAAAAAAAAAAAAAAAGCGCGGCCTACAATGTTCAGATGCGCACTGATGGAGAGAGAGAGAGAGAGCACCATAGGTAGAGAGAGAGAGAGGGAGAGAGAGAGAGAGAGGGAGAGGGAGAGAGAGGGAAAGAGAACCATAGAGAGAGAGAGAGAAAGAGAGAACCATAGCAAGCAAGCGCGCGCGTGAGAGAAAGAGAGAGAGATCCATAGCGGGCGAGAGAGAGAGGCTCTTAAAAAAAAATAAAAAATGAACAGCATTCAATTTTAAACGCGAATTTAAATCCGCGTTCAAACGCAAATTTGAACATGAACTCGAGTTCACGGCGTTCAAACGGTTACATAGGTCTTATCCTTGAAACCTCGCCGTTCCTCCCCCTCCCCCAATGTTGGAATCCCGCAAAGATGATCTTTCTGAACCCATACAAAAGGGTTGCAGCTAACCATCAGCTCTCCCCTTCTTCCTAATTTATACCATTCCACCAGCACATCATCTGGCCGCACATGGTGGATCTGTCACACGGACTCACACCCATTCAGGGACCCCTCCGAGCCACCCAGTCCCCTTCTTGGCACTTATGCCCCTTTCGCAGGATTGCCCACCATCCTAGCTGTGTTGCCGCGCGTTCGTTGAACGCGGGTTCCGCGTTCAGTTTTTGAACGCATTGAACGCGCATTCATTCAATGAATGCGGGTGCACGCTCTGAACGTGAACGCGCAGAGCGCCACCCATGCCCGGGAGGCCCGTCGGGGGCGCTGGGGAGCGGCGGCGGTGCTTGGGGGGGCTGTGGGCAGTGTGGGGAGCGGCGACGGTGCTTGGGGGGGGCTGTGGGCC